AAAATATGTCCAGATATTTATTACTTTGATTTTCCTGCAAGCAGTTCTATTCCTGGGGACTTATTCCAGTTGGGTCCCTCTGTTCTGTTCCTCATGCCTGCCAAACCTCCATGGACCTGAGAAGTCTGAAAATAACTGAGCCAGGCCCTCCAGGCGAGTCGCAGAGAAGGCCCAGGGCACTCAGGGCCCTCATTGAAAAAACGTCAGTGGGGTTGGCTTTGTATCAGCTGAGCCGCCTTCCTTTTTCAGTTCGACCCAACCACCCTCTCTGGGATCCAAGCCCCTTCAGTCCCGCTGGGCACCCCGAACCAGAAAGATAATCAGTGCCTTGAACTTTGATCTCTGCTGCTGTCACTCTGATCAGCAGGTGAGGAGAACTCTCCCTCCAGTCCCTGGGCCCTGCCCCGCCTGAAGCAGGCTGGCGGGGTGTTGTCAGTGTGCTGGGTTTGTTTTTAAGGTCAGTGAACAAAGCGCCCTAGAATGCGAGCTGCCTCAGGTTTGGTTACTCTGTTCTCCAGATATGATGAGCTCTTGGGATTGTGTGAATTCTGAGGAGGGCAGGATGTGTGCATGAGCTCCAAAGGGCAACACGAGCAAATCAGTTACATCCGGGCTCCCGAGTCCTATTTCCAAACATGCTTCCGGCCTGCAGATACTGTTATTGGAGATGGTGAGCCACTCCGTGCAAAGACCTGATGCCATTTCCAACTCGTTTCATCATCTTTCTAAGGTTGGTACAAAAGTTCTGCCCGATGCCACGGAGGGTACCATTTCTGTGGCCTTGGATCAGCCGCGGTCACCACAGCTAGCACTTTCTATACTCCAGCCACTGGGTGCAACTCTTCACCTGCGTTGTCTAGTTTCACGCTGAGCACGGCCCTGGGGGGAGTCTGGATACCTCTGTTTGACTGATGAGGAAAGTGCACCTCCCAGTGGATAAGTCACTCATCCAAAAGATACCTCTCCTTGACCCAGGAACCAGGAACCAAGGCCAGTGTGATCAGCTCCATGGTGTGAGGGCTTTCGCTCTGGGGCCCTGGCTGGTTCTCTTTGCCATCCATCACGCTTAGCTGAAATGAACTGGGGAAAAGTTGGAACTAGTATTTTGGGAGAGTCTTCACCTGCACCAGACCCATGCATTATCTTATTTCCTCCTGTAAACAGCTTTGCGAGGTGGGGATTATCACCCTCAGGTTAGAGGAGAGGATTGGGGGGCTCAACTTGTCAACTGGCTTGCCTAGGTCCACAGTCAGAGCAGGATCCAGACTCAAGTCAGTGTGAGCTCAGAGCCCGAGCCCTTCCTGCCACGTTCATTGCTCCCGCTGTACTAGGACGTCTGGTTCTCCTGGGAGAGCCGAGGGAAACCTCTCCCGGACAATGGGCACAGCTGACAGTGCTGGTCACTGTCAGTGAGAGGAAAGGGGAGAGGAAAGCCTGATACCAAAAAGATTTGGGGGTAGGGGACTGCAGTGCAGGGGAGACAGGTAGGAAAACAAGAAGGCAGGTCCCCGCAGTGTAGGAACAGGGAGTCTAGGGACGGACAAGTTGGTTCTATGACCATACCTGTTCCTTCCACCAGAATCAGGAGTGCCTAGCCCTCCAATTCCAGACCCTTCCAACTTCAGGACTCAGTTTAAGCACCACATTGTCTACAGAGCCTTCCTCCAGCCCACAGTGACCCCAATCTCTGCTAGCATCTCATGTCTGTGCCTCTCGCTCTGTCTTTCAATTATCTACATACTGTGATCTGTCTCGAGTGTCCTGAGACAGAAAGTCCCCATCAGATAGGAGGTTCCCATTGAGAGAGGAAGTTATTAAGAAGGAGGATATTGTCCTATTCATTCCTTTTTTTATTCCTCACAGAACCCAGAAGACTGGCATAAACAAATATATGCGCAAATACATGTGGTATTGAACCATTCCCATTTTACAGAGAAAAACAGAGGAACTCCTATAAATTAGGTCAGCAGCTCCACAGTTATCTGATTTTCCTCTAACACTAAATCTCCTAATTGCTACTATACCCCAAATCAAAGCCAAATAAATGTGGATTGATTTTAAAAGGAGGAGAGGGAAGAGAGGCAGAAGGGGGTATGGGAGAAGAGGTGGAGGAAGGGGAGAAAGATAAGGGGGAGGA